GTATGCAGTTTTATAGTGCTAAGTTCTGATATCAGTTATGATATCATATTTAATTTTCTTTCTCTTCCACAGAATTATTTAAGGTCTTTACGATTTGTAATACAGGTTATAATATTCTAATATTATTATATTAATTCTTTGTAATCCTTAGCTGGATGGTTGTCACTTTCGTCATCGTAATAGACTTTGACTAAGTATTTTAGAATATGCAGTTTTATAGTGCTAAGTTCTGATATCAGTTATGATATCATATTTAATTTTCTTTCTCTTCTACGGAATTATTTAAGGTCTTTACGATTTGTAATACAGGTTATAATATTCTAATATAATATTATTATATTAATTTTTTGTATATAATCCTTAGCTGGATGGTTGTCGCTTTCATCATCGTAATAGACTTTGATCGAATACCCTTTTAGGGTATGCAGTTTTATAGTGCTAAGTTCTGTGATATCAGTTATATCATATTTAATTTTCTTTCTCTTCTACAGAATTATTTAAGGTCTTTATGATTTATAATACACAGGTTATAATATTCTAATATAATATTATTATATTAATTCTTTGTAATCCTTAGCTATAGATGGTTGTCGCTTTCGTCATCGTAATAGACTTTGATCGAATACCCTTTTAGGGTATGCAGTTTTATAGTGCTAAGTTCTGTGATATTAGTTCTTCCACAGAATTATATTTAAGGTCTCTCTCTCTCTCTCTCTCTCTCTCTCTCTCTTTACGATTTATAATATACGTTATAGTATAGTTCCACCATTTTTGTGGATCAAATATGCTGAAAGTATCTTACGAAATACGTGACCCCAAGATCATTTCGTTGGGTAGTCTCAGCGAGCAACACTGTTTCCGTAATTAAAGTGGGACGATGTCGAGTTAATCATGAACCTTCCTAACCGACTCGAAAAGCTCGAAATCGTAAGGAAAAGGAGCTCGTTCGTCCCATCGTTAAGAATAACAGATTGCGCGAAGATGGAACCAAGTTTAACACAAGATTGCTTTCGAGATGTGCAGATACTTCGTGGGACGGAACGTCAACTCTGTGACCTGGAGTGCCACTTGAGGAACCATGGTGACTTTGTGAGGCTCTTCTCAGGGATTTTGAGTGTCACAGTCCTCGCCTGTTCGCCAACTCAACGCTAAGCAACGAACACTAAAAATGTGCGGCGCTAATGATCTATCCGTGATTTATTCTTCATATAATCGATGCGTCTGGAGCAGATTAGATGTAGCACAAAGATGTGTTCCAGATCAACAGAGACCAAGAAATCTCAAGGAACGAATCGGTAGATCCGATCAGTCTTGGCCGAAGACTGAAATTTACCTAGCGCTAATTAATCTAAATCCTCGGGATCCCAGGAGACAAAGTTTCAGCGAGCGAAAAACAGATTTGTAAGCTTGTATCTGCCAAGCGAATCGTTCATCGTCTTTCTCGACGAGGCTCCCAAGAGATCGACTACACACACTGCTTTGCTTCTTTCCCTTATCCAAGATGAATCGAATCGATTCCACCTCCCATTCGCTCGAAAACAAATGAAACGAAGAGAAGAACATTGCGATGCTTACCGATGTAACGCAACGACTGGCAATCGACAAGCGCTTCAAATATACACAACGTTACACAATCATCGGATCCGTTTGTCTATTCGCGTTGCTGTCTCTCGTCTTCGATTCCGCAAACCGTCACGGCGGAAGATACAACGCGACGATGTTTTTCGCGACCGGAGCGAATCGCGCGCTACGAAGGTTGTTGTTCCTGTTCTCTCGAACGAGAGATTCCACGGACAGAAAACATCGACAGGGAATTTCCCCCGTGTGAAAGACCGTCTCGAATACATTGTCCAATAATATCGTTCGCGAAGAATGCGCGTCTGTTAATAACGCGGAGGCGATAGTCGGCTTTTGACGGCGCCTATCGGCGGCCAGCCGGACAAAAGCTTTTCATTATCGGAACGTCAGCCGCTCGTATCCTACATCGTCACGCGCCCATTGAACAGGAAATGATACGTACCTCCGTTAACGCCTTCTTATCAGCGACTTTGGCACTTTGTAGCAGACGTATCACGTTCTTAGCCCCCTCCACCACCGCAGCCTCGATCCGCAAACGGTGTCGCAGCTCCTCCACCCTTTCCTCTAACGCGAGCTCCAGGCTGGGTTCGTATTTATCTGCAATCATAACGCATAATCCGTCTGGTATGCACACACTACGTTGCTGTGAAAGGCAAAACCCCCATTGTTCGGGAAAATTCAATTCCATTCATGTACAGGGTGTCCCGAAAATGTCTCGCAAACCGGAAACGAGAAGTTCCTGGGATCATTTGAAGTAACTTTCTCCTTAGTGAAAATGCAACCCGTGGCTTCGTTTACGAGTTATTCACGAAAAACACTGACCAATGAGAGGCGAGCTCGCCCAGCGCTTGGCGGCCGAGCCAATGAGCGCACGAAGCCCAGTTCCGCTCATTGACTCTCGGCCGCCTTGCGCCAGCATATCTCGTCTCTCATTGGTCACTCTTTTTCGTTAATAACTCGTGAACAAAGCCGTGGATCGCATTTTCGCCAAGGACAAACTTACTTCAAATTATCTGAGGAATCTTCCATTCTCGGATTGCGAGACATTTTTGGGACACCCTGTATGTGTACAGCGAATGAAAGACTCGGTCTCACGTTTCATACTTGTGTTACGTTGCAACGAGGATTCTATCTGCTGGCTGTTCATTCGGGAAAATCGGAGATGAGTGATTTACGAGGCTTCTTAAACGATTCGAGAGGTTGGAAATAAGTTTGACATTTCAATAAATATTTACTCTGGGTTTTAAAGTGTATGAAGTCCACTATTAAAATAAATAGCTAGAAATTAATGGTTTGGAATCATAGCGATTTTCCTCGAAAATCAAAGAATGTTATTGTTTGTTTACATGTGTATTCTATACCGAACGAATTTATTGTTACGATAATTTAGAATTAAGTTAATTTACAGTAACTCTATAATGCATTTTACTTGTCTTTTTAATATTTTGGCGCGTATAGATTATGTTTCAAGACGTAAGTCGAAACTTTCGGAAACGTGCTTTACACCACTATGATTCTAACTCACTGAAATTGTATGTTCGGTCACTACAGGATTTTTACCTGTCGCCTGCTCGTTACAGAAAATAAAAATAAAACGTTCCATTCCATTTATTACAGCATTCGAGAGATTTAGAACGAAGTGAAAATATCACTGAACCTCGGAGTCAACTGTTCAACTCAGCCTTTCGACGTTGAAGACACTTCTCAGTCTTTGAAGACGATTTCGCGAGGTATCCGGAATATCGCGTAAAAATCGAACGCGCTTGACGAATGCCAGAATTTTCAGATGTTGTGACAGAAAAGTATGCTTTCGTCGGAAGATCGTGCAGGAGATTGATACGCGGTTCTTACACAGTAAGGTCGCTTCATGATCGTCTGGACTGGTCCGCGCGAAGATGGATCGAAAGCACATAGAGAGATAGAAGAGGATTTGTCCGCGAATGGCGACGTACTGAAATACGACTAGAGATCTGCTGATGTCGAGACCGAAAGCGAGATTGATTTTATGTCACGCGAGACTGCCGGCATCCTCCGAATCGTGGCAGGACGTGCATTCGACTCTTTTGGAATTCACATCCCGTGGTCGAGTCGGGTCAAGTGAAACGGATAATGGCGGATTTTCGAAGCAATCTCTCTGTGTGCGTGTGTCCGTATTCGATCGATCGATCGGTGCTTCGTACTTCTACGAACGATTATTCAAACTTTCGCGTAATATGGAAAATACTGAACAAAAGGTTCGGATTACTACGACTAACAACGTTATAGTAAATTTTACAAATAAAAAGTACAGGTGTTAAAAATTTCAAGACTCAGAAAATAGCTTAAGAATATTAATCTTTAGAGGGCCGGGAAGTCAATAAATTGGCTCCAGTAATGACACTAAATTTGTGAAAGAAATACCTCACATGTAATAATTTTTAGAATAAAACTGCCGGCTTATATGAGAAAATTAAATTGTTATGCCAGCATAACAATTTAAAAAAAGTAAATTTCTATTTAGTTCCAGCATCTTGCAATGCACGCCAATTTTTGTTTTGGAACTCGAGAGTTCCAGAAATGGCGGGTTCCTCGGAACATTTGAAGCAACTTCTTCCTTTACAGAAATGTTCTCCGAGGCACCGTTAACGAGTTATTAACGAAAAACAGTGACCAATAAGAATCGAGTACGGCTGACGCGAGACCGCCTCAACCGCCGGCGCCGTTGGCTCGGCTGTCTCGCGCCAGCTGAACTGGGATTCGACCGTCTCGACCGCTGGCGCCGTTGGCTCGGCCGGCTCGCGCCAGTTGAGCTAGGATTCGACCGCTGGCGCCGTTGGCTCGGCCGGCTCGCGCCAGCTGAGCTCGCCTCTCATTGGTCACTGTTTTTTGTTAATAACTCGTTAACGGTGCCTCGGAGAAAATTTTTGTAAAGGAGGAAGTTGCTTCAAATGACCTGAGGAACCCACCACTTTCGAATTGCGAGACATTTTTGGGACACCCTGTATAATTTAAATAATATAAAAATAATATAATATAAATATAATTTAAATAATAAATTTGCGAATATCGTTTAAAGCAATGTTTAAGCAGTTTATTCGTATATAGCATTGCAGCAGTTTTTCTTCTTCATTGTGACTACCGAGTTTCCGAGTTCGGATCGATGATTTTAAGCTTCGACTGAACGAAAAGAGGGATCTAAGGATGAGTAGTGACGGGGGAAGAAGACCGAAGCACCGGTATAACGTGCAACCGCGAAAAACATACGGCTTCCGGGAGAGTTGATCATCGTGACCTAATGAATCACAGATTGGACCGACGAAACAAGGAAAACATCGTACCTTTATTGCTGGTCGCTTCTCCGTTCGGCGGCGGGGCATCGCCGCGTTCTTGTTGCTGACGAGCCTGTCGCACCTTCATTATCCGCATACGTAGGAACTCGATTTTCGCACGGGAATCGTCCAGCATTTGCTGCGCATCCTGCAGCAACTTCTTGTCCCTGCCGCTCGTTAAACTCTGGATCATGTTTTCCGCCCCCTGCTTCACCTTTAATGCCAACAGGAAAACGTATTAACCAACAAATAATCAGAGCGCCGAGTCAAGAAGACAAACCTAAAATATATTCCTAATAACTGAGTTCACTTTGCTCAACTATTCCGGTGCATCTTATTACCCTACATCGTGCAAATCTATTTATGCCTTTCTCCGCCGATAAATTATTATGGTTGAATACATTTATTTATACGTAAACACGTTACGGTAAAATTTACGCATGCTCTTTTAATTCGTACAGAACGTTGCGAATTAGGCGTTCCGATCATTAGATGCTTTTAATTTCAACGGATCGATCGGACGTTAAACGTCTCGAAATTTACATTATAGTTTTTTTAACACGGGCGTTGAGAAGATTTGAGAAATACTGAAACTTCAGTTTCTAGTTATTCTATTTTTTTGAACCCGAATTAAATTTTTGTTTTTTGATCCGTTGTAAGCGATCGATGAACTCGTCTATCATTCTGCTGCGATCCAAATTTTGGTAACTTTCAAATTTTGTCAACGAACAAAACGAAACGTTGTCGCGAATCGCGTTTTGTGGCTCGAGTTGTTCCGGGACCGTAAACTTTAGAGCGTCCTGTAAGATTTAGCGTTTGTCGACACGATTCACCTTTCTCCACGAAAATTTTGGCATTCTCGTTGTTTTACCCGCGACAGCTGATAGGAGACTACGCGTTTCCTAAACATCGTAGGTATTCACCAGCTCGATAGCTAAGCCTGTTACGGTCTGAAACGGATCGCGTAATATGACGTAAAGATACTATTTTGCCGTGGCGCGCGAATCACTGCCTCGGGATTTCGGATTCGTTGACATTCGCGGATTGGGAGGATGCCAGAATCGATAGTTCGAGGCTCATCGATCATTCGGGAGGTCTGATTCGACGGTGGTTAATCTTGCACACGAGAGTCAAAGTTCCCGACGCTCGAGATGCACGTTTCCTGCCACGTGGACCGCCAGTGATCGTCCGTCCGCCAAAAACTTTCCGTTCCATTTGCAATTTTCAACGTTTGCGAGTACACGCGGCGCGAACCTATTCGTTCTAATCGCACGTTCGATCTAGTTTTCTGCGGCGCAGAGAAGTTACTAAAAAATTTATTTACATAGAAATCCGTTCGCTGAAAACAGCACGTCGTAGAAACACAAGGCTGAAGCTGATGCAATGAGAAAAATTAAAGTTAAACATATATTTTTCTGTATTTTATTTCTTAGCCACTGTGTCGCATTGTGACTGGTTATAGTCGCCAGCAAAAAATTAATGAGAAAATTAACCGTCGTTGCATTGATACCATGTCATTGAATAAACTGTGATTAAATGCCCGTAGGTGACGCACTGTTGCTTCTTCGGATGGTCTTTGCGATTAATTAATGTTTCTTTCAAGAGTGTATACTTAAATCTGGTTAAACCACTGCTACACGAATGCTGTTTAAAGTTGAATTACAGCTGAACGTTAAGAGTAACATATTTACTTCTTCGTGACTGTTTTAAATGACAATTAGTATGCATATGTATAATTACTAAATATGTTCATAAAATTCAATTATCTTGATTTTGTTTTTGGAAAGATATTTAGGTTTCAGATTTATATCTAAATTGCTGATTTTGTACACACATACAATTGTGGTCTTTCATTGAATATTTCGTCGAATTAGAAATCAAGTTCTCGTTTCTTGTACTCGTAAAGAGCTTCTCAAAAATATCCTCAAGTTTTAAAATAAAATGCAACAAATATTGTACATAGTTTTGTTAAACCGTCTTCTATATTGACTTTCAAAGTACTTATTTAATTTATTTAAGCCTCCAAAAATATTCTGAAGCTTCAAATCGAATATTGTACTCGATTTTGTTAAACTTCTTACTGTACGATAATTTCATAGAATTTTCTGGAACATCATGTTGTAATAATTTTTATCGATGTTCAAGAGGTGCATTGCGAAAGATCGAATAAATAAGAGAAAAAAGGGAGAAGAGAGGAATAACATTCGTCGCCGTGACCGAGCATGCGAACGTGCCCACAAAAGCAAGTTCAAAAGCTGGTCGCGCACACCGATTAGTATAAATCGTCGTGCGACGATGTGTGGAAGCTATCTTTAGTAGAAAAAAAAAAGAAATGCCGAGGATGCATTTGCTGACTCACGAGAACCCGAGTGAAACTGTTACTGTCTTCTCCGGTTAATCGCTCGCGAATTGCAGACGGATTGTTACGGTGCTCACGCGATCGTCATTACACACGTCATTACGACACACACGCTGTGCCCATATGGAGGCGATCGGCGCGAAATAATAACCGGCCTTCCAGGTTTATGCGTAAACAATAAGCGTAATTAGCGGACCGTGGATCTTGACGCAATCCCGTGTTTACCTCGGACGCGATTCAACCAGACTGATCGAAAGTTGTTGCACAGCCCCTAACAAAATCACGTGAAAGTGCCAGTCGACGATTATGTGGTTCTGTGATGCACGTACAATTCTGCTTTTGTACACATTGGGTTGGGGAATAAGTTCGTAGCGATTTTATATTTTCTTTTATTTCGCAACGAGATGTTTTGCTGTTTGACAAAGTGTATAATATTCAGTCGATAGAGCTCTTTCTGCTCTACAAAACTGTGCTAATCGTCTTTTTGAGTAATTTAATTTTTTGTTTTCAAACAGCAAAACAAAAGAAACATATAAAACTATCGTTGTAACAAAAGAACATATAAAATAAACATATAAAAAATCGTTGTAAAACAAAAGAAAATATAAAAACGCTACGAACTTATTCCCCAACCCAATAGATTACAGAGAGAACTTAAGAAGAGAACTTGAGAAGAAATTAAGTGTCTAGATAAGTATAGAAAAAGACTGAAAGGTTGACAAATTCTTTAGTAAATCTTCGCAGGATTTTTATTTAGCGAATGAGTGAATTTATATGCTTTTTGTAAATACGATAAATCGTTTAATATTTTATGCCTGTATTGCAAAATGCCTTTCTTTAAAATGCAACGTTACGAGCGAAAAGTAGATTAATGGTCCAAAATATGAAAGAGACATTTCAGTAAACTTTTTATCATTTTTCTGACGAATCTTGTTGGAATTAAATTCCGGCGTTATTTAGATCGAATAAGACGGAAAGGAAATTGTAGTCAGCGAAGCATTCAGGCGACAGACTTTTATGTCTGAGGTTTGATTACAGAGGAATACAACTGGAAAATTTGACGTACTTTACCGTCTGTCCATTACCGGTACTTTCTACTTGCAGCGAAAAAACCATTGTATGGACAAAATCCCGTGGTTTTTTCCCAACCATCGAACGATCCATTTTGCATTCGTTATTACCGTAAAACGACACTGTCATCCTATACCTCGATGCACAAGTAGAAATAGCTAGCAATGGCCAGGCGGTGCAAGCCAAGAGCCGAATTTTCAAACAAGACTTTCTCGTACCAACTGCACAATGCGAACAAAAAGATCGAGATGTTACCTTCGCAATCGTGTTTTCGCATCGTTCGGCAATTATACTAATTGCGAGACGTGTTCTGTACGTTGCAACTAAATGCACGAAATCCCCGGTCTAGCAATTATTCTCGAATGACATAACGGGACCCGGGGCCGAAGGTTGCAGTGTCTGCAACTTTGATACGAGTGATTCGCGATATGATTCTACGTCAGCCGACGGAGACGGTAATTGAATTTTACGAAGGTTAGACGGTGCATTGTTCGAAGGAGATTGAGTTCTGACTGGATGCTGAGTACGGCGCTACTTTTCCTTCGCTTTCGCTGCCTTATATTTCGGTTATTTTTCTTGATAAATGAGACGTCTACCTTGAGTTCGATATTGAGCTGCTTCTCCAAGGATAAAAATCGAGGATCCGTGAATAGACTCTCCTGACTCGGCGACGACGGCCCCATCGGTGACAGAGGCGTGTCTGAAACGAAAATAGGCGTTGAAAATAAAATGCCGCCTCTCGATACGATCTGGCAGAGTCTGAACGACAAAAGCACGAGTTTTCATGGAAAAATCCTCCTTTCAACGTTCTCGATTTCAGGGGACAATTAATCGAATTTCAGTATTTGTTCGCTACGACAAATTCTCGAAAGACAAATCGAACATCGTCGCAGAAAGAGTTTCTTTTCCATGAATTTATCTATGAATATCTTTCTAAACTAGTGGTTAAATCAATTAACGGCATAGTCGTGCTTATCGATGATTGGACCAGCGATTTTCAAACTTTTCCATTGTACGGTTCAGTTTTTCTATCGCGAATTTAATTCTCTCTTTATGGTACTCGTTAGTGAAATCTTTACGTTCTTGGTAATTTAACATTAGAATGTCTACTAAAACGTTGCGAATCGCTAGACTGCGAATCTTTATTTAGAAGCGATTCGAAAAGCATGAACTTTCCGAGAACTATATTTACCCGATTTTGCGAGTACGACGAAGAGGTGCAATTTTTATCGACAGATATTTCGAATATTTCTCACTGCACTCTCTCTGTCCAAGGGATGATTTCACCCTCTAAAACCGTGTTACGGTGGGAACGAAAAACATGCGTGGGCTGCTGATGAATCACTCTAGTTGCATAAAATGTTTATATCATTTTCCGAAATTCCCCTCGATCGCGGACGAACGATTATTTATTCCAAGAAACGAGCCGCGCGAAACACAAAATAGTGAAACTGCAAATTAAAAAAATGTAAAATGTCTGTGCAACTTCTAACTTATTGCGAAGTCGATGTATAAAATTGGAACTTCCCACGAAGATCCTCGGTGTAATTACAACATTCTCAAAGTGCATCGGTACATAAAATAGTTGATCGTATCCACAGTTTATGCAACAGTTGGATATAGTATTAACCGTAAAATTATTATCTAATCCAACGAACGCTACAATTTGTCTTCCATCTCGTAAAAACGCTATTTAATTCACGTTTAATTCGCTCTTAACCGCATAAATTCTACATAATTCTAAAATGCTCTATTCCAATCTAAAGTGCATATTTCCTACGCTTATGGCGCGTACCCTCTCTGCACATTATAAAAGTCCTGCAGGAACTCTGATCGAAGCCGTACAAAATGCAATTTCAAGCCAACTGCGGCACACGCAGAAAGAAGAATCGCATTTTTCCGAGCGGTTCGGTGCAGCAATCAGCGAAACCCACTGGTTAACGCGGAACGATCCAACGGATCTTTGTTTAGATCCGAGGCAGCCTCGATCCGCGTGGGCGGTTGGTTCGTATAAGCGCGTCTCGTTACATCCGAGAGTTTCAAGTGTCCAATAGTGAAATCGTAAAGTGCTCGAATCTCACTTCCTGTAACCCACTGGGGGGATATCGCAGCGGCCGTCGTGCAAAAGACTCCCACGTGTTTTAATGCGCCGCCAGGTACAATACTCGCCTCGAACCGGGGAGGAAGGGAAGAAAAAGAAAAAACGAAGAATACACTGCTCCTCTTTGTTTCGCGCGCGCTTACCGTTACCAGCGAATTTCCCATCGCGCCGCTTTTCGCCACGGGCTCGCAACGCATGGGGGAGTCGCACAGTCCCAGTGACTGGGAATCGAGAGACCGCGAGCGACTTATTGCGCAACGATCGCGTTAATCTTCGCCGGAATCGGTGGATCAATTAGCCGCGGGACCTCCTCTCGTTCCCATCTCCATACGATTTTTCATTTTTTGTTGTTCCGTAATTCATCGTTTTTATTTCTCTTCTCTACCTTCCACGATTTTATCCTCAGACAAGCATCGTTTCTGATTTATCGCGCCGATTCCGTCGACTGATCGTCCGCGCCAAGTTACGAATCGTTTGTATTTACCAGTGATTTCTAAGAATTTTCCAATTGCGTTTCGCAGTTTTCAAATTTCTGCGAATTCTTTTCACGAACAAGCTTGATCTCCGATTTATCGCGCAGATTTTTATCGATCGTTTGTATTTATCAGTAATTTCTCGCTAGTTTCCCAATTTCGTTTTGCAGCTTATAAATATCTGCGATTTTATCTCGCGACGCTCTCTGTTTGGTTTGTGTTTCATGATTTTTAGATTTCGCATTTTTCGGTTTCTGTGAAACTATTGGGTTGGGGAATAAGTTCGTAGCGTTTTTATATCTTTTGCTTTACAACGATTTTTTGCTGTTTAACAAAGTGTATAATATTCATTCGATAGAGCTCTTTTTGCTCTACAAAACTGTGCTAATCGTCTTTTTGAGTAATTTAATTTTTTATTACTTTCGAGGCTTAGAAATGGAATATTCNTCGGTGGATCAATTAGCCGCGGGACCTCCTCTCGTTCCCATCTCCATACGATTTTTCATTTTTTGTTGTTCCGTAATTCATCGTTTTTATTTCTCTTCTCTACCTTCCACGATTTTATCCTCAGACAAGCATCGTTTCTGATTTATCGCGCCGATTCCGTCGACTGATCGTCCGCGCCAAGTTACGAATCGTTTGTATTTACCAGTGATTTCTAAGAATTTTCCAATTGCGTTTCGCAGTTTTCAAATTTCTGCGAATTCTTTTCACGAACAAGCTTGATCTCCGATTTATCGCGCAGATTTTTATCGATCGTTTGTATTTATCAGTAATTTCTCGCTAGTTTCCCAATTTCGTTTTGCAGCTTATAAATATCTGCGATTTTATCTCGCGACGCTCTCTGTTTGGTTTGTGTTTCATGATTTTTAGATTTCGCATTTTTCGGTTTCTGTGAAACTATTGGGTTGGGGAATAAGTTCGTAGCGTTTTTATATCTTTTGCTTTACAACGATTTTTTGCTGTTTAACAAAGTGTATAATATTCATTCGATAGAGCTCTTTTTGCTCTACAAAACTGTGCTATTATATATATTATTAATAATTATTATATTATTAATTATTATTATATATATTGTTTATATATTATATATATTGTTTATATATTATATATATATATTATATTATATATATATAATAATATATATAATATATAAAAAAAATATATAATACATATAATAGCACAGTTTTGTAGAGCAGAAAGAGCTCTATCGAATGATGAAGTGTATAAACACTTTGTCAAACAGCAAAAAATCGTGGCAAAATAAAAGAAAATATAAAAACGTTACGAACTTATTCCCCAACGCAATATTTCATTCCGAAACAGTTCGATGTTTTCGTTGATCGAAATTAACGCGATCGTTTGATCGTTTTAACGTCACCACAGATGCGTCACCTCAGTGCTTGATATGGATTTATGCTGTGCGCAATTTTTTCGATAGAAATTACTTGTCAATCAGGTGAGAAAATCATGTCGATAAATAGCAGCGAGACTGTGCAACAGCAGCAGCAGCAGCAGAAACAAGAGATTTGCATAAACGGTGCACGGAAATTGAAAAAGTGCGCTTGGAAATGCAATATCAATGTGTACGTCGTGCATTCAATTAATTCTAACTTCGCGGAGCACGAATGCTCGTCTTTTACGACGTAATTAAGCGGGCGTCAATTAAGGTCAGACGCTATGAAATCATGGATTGGCTGATTTGCATAAAAAGAGCTGCCGTCTCGGTGTTATAATATATTAAATCGATACACCGAGTGAATCAGGACTTATTCAGGATTTATTAGCGGATCGATTCGCATTAATTTATAGTGATCTTTCGGAGAATATCGTTCTAGGAATTAACGGCGAAATGGATTCCGCGTCGTACAGGACGACTTATAAACACGATGAAACGAAACAAATGCTGCACGAAGCAATTATTGAAACAATTCGCTGAAGTCTTGAAAAATCGATTTCTATTCAAAATTTTTATTCGCTATTTCCGAACCAATGTGGTTTCGATAACATTTTGAAACGATTCTGTTTTACATCCGCTGGATCGATTTGTCAATGCGAAAAGGAGGCGATTCTACGAGGAAAATTGAATCAAACAGGCACAATAAATTTGTTTGCGTGAAGAGCTCCTTTCGTGAAACAATATACCACAAAGTACTGCAGTGGCTGATCACGACAAACTGTTTCTACTGTTTCCACTTCAAATCCATAATTCAAAGTCGATTGTTTTTAACCCCTTGACATACCATTTTCTTCGCAGTTACTGCGATTAGAAATTGTTCGATTCTACGAAAAATAAATTAATGCTTATTGTGCGCCTAAATTTACTTGAATGCTTAAATATTGACGACAAAAGAATAGAATTTTATTGCAATTTTAAAGGACAAAATGACACATCTATACTCAACGAGCTAATAATAGAAATTTTCATGACGAGTCGGACTCGTCAAAGTACGGCAAGGGGTTAAAACAAACGCACGAATAACAAGTTTTCATTGTTTGTTTTCTTATTAATTCTTCCACCAATTACGCGTCTCCTCGCGTAATCGCGCGCGCGCGGACAACAATTATTATAAGCTTGATTAAAAATCGATCATTTGAGATTTTTCTTTCGAATTTTTTTCCTGCCATTTTTCTTCTCAGAGATTGGAACAGGTCGATAATGGACCATTCGCGGGTCGCCCTGTACAAAGACAAGGAGATCACCCGTTCGATTCACAGCGCTGTAATATTCGATTTGCATAAACAACGCTCCGGCGAGGGAAAAGTGGACCGCGGGGCTCACTCGCGGGTGAGCCTTCTGAAAACCGAGTGTCAGGAGTTCTAAGTGCAGCTTCCGGGCGGGCCGGAACCCCGAACAATTACAGTAATCAATTCCACTTACGTAATTATATCGGCGGCGCTTGCGAAACACGCGCGGCTCCTGTTTTAACGCGGCCGGGCACGCCCAGCGAAGTATTTTTCTCCTCGTTCTTTCGCGTTTATTTCTCCGTTTTAGTTTCCCCCGTCGGTTTTCTCGGTCTCTCGGGGCGCTACGCATACACACCGAACAGGTTGTTGAGTGGCACGGATTTCCTGCGTGACTGACACAAAGAAATGACCGATCGTTGATCCTTTTTTATCGGCCGC